CAACTCCAAGTTTTGACAGATAATTAACCTGTAGAAATTAAGGATATTTCTTTCTATTGCTAGATTTCAAATTTTTAAAAATAATGAATGGGAATTTAATTGAACGGTTTTTCTGTGTCTTTTGAGATGACTACATAGTTGAAATAAGGAACAGCATATTTACAAATACAGACTTGAGTCCCTGATTTTGGAAACAATTAAAAGAATTAAAAAAGCAGATAAAGCTTGAAAAAAGTGTTTACCATTTGTAAATTAGAATTTTGCACAATTAACACAAAATAATTATGAAGATACCTAAGTAATGTATTTTATGCATGACTCACTCATTTTACTTAGGCTAAAAATTTAGAATTTTAGATTCAGCCACAAAAAATTTTTAAAACTTTAAATTGTGGCTAAAAAAAGTAATAAAAAATTTTCCATGTTAACCATTTGCAAGTATACAGTTCAGTAGTGTTAAGTATATTCACTTTGTTGTGCAACCCATCTCCAGGGCTTTTTCACCTTTCAAAGGTGGATTTTTGGGGGGGGGGTACTGGGGATTGAACCCAGGGGTGCTTAACTACTAAGCCACACCTCCTGCCCTTTTTGAGTCAGATAGGGTTTTGCTAAATTGCTGAGACTGGCTTCAAACTTGTGACCTTCCTGTTTTAGCCTCCTGAGCTGCTGGGATTGCAGGTGTGCGCCACCATCCCTGACTACACTGAAATTCTACATTAAATATCAGTTCTCTACTTCCCTCACCCTCAGCCTTGGCACCTTTTTCTCCCTCCCCCCAGCTCCCCAGTACTAGGGATAAAATCCAGGGCCTCAAGCATGCTGGGCAAGTCCTCCAACACTGAGGACATCCCCAGCCCCACCATTCTAGTTTTTGTGTTGACTTCTGACATGAAATAATAACAGCATTTGAGATTTTGTGGCTTATTTCCCTTACTATAATGTCTTCAAGGTCCATCTATAGAACAGTGACAGGATTTACCTTACGGCTGAACAATATTTCATTGTGCACATATGCCACATTTTTGAGAATGTTTGAATTGCTCCCACCTCTTGGCCATTTTAAATAACGCTACTATGAGCAGATATATATATATATATATATATATATATTTCCCCCCCCTGAGTACCAGGAACCGAACTCAGGGACACTCATCCCCAGCCCTGTCTAATTTAGACAGGGTCTCACTGAATTGCTTAGCATTTTGTTTTTGCTGAGGCTGGCTTTGAACTCAAGATTCTCACGCCTCAGCCTCCCAAGCTGCTGGAATTAAAATAGGAATGTGCCACTGCGCCTGAGACAATTGCCTTTGAGAGCCTACTTTGAATTCTCTTGGATATATACCCCAAAGGGTGGTTACTGAATCATACAAATCCACTTTAAGATGGACACAATATCTTTATTTATTCATTTTTATGTGGCGCTGAGGATTGAACCCAGTGCCTCACTCGTGCTAGGTGAGTGCTTTACCACCGAGCTATATCCCCAGGTCCCACAAATCCACTTTTAACTTGAGGGCTGACCATACTGTTTTCCATAATGGTTGTACCATTTTATTTTCTCACCAGTGTATAAGGGGCCCAATTATCTCACATCCTTGTCACCACTTGTTATTTTTGACCAGCCATCCTGATGAGGTGATCATGCTTTCAATTTGCATTTCTCTGATTATGTGATGTTGAACAAATTTTCATATGCTTACTGTCCATTTATATATCTTCTTTGGAGAAATGTGTAATAAGCCCTCCCCCACCACCCACCTTTTCCTTGTGAGACAGAGTCTCACTAGGTTTCCCAGGTTGGCCCCGGACTCCTGGGCTTAAGTGACCCTCCTGCCTCAGCCTCCCAACCTGGAACTTCAGGTACACACCACTGCACCCAGCTCCCTTTGCCCATAAATAGGCCATTTTGTTGTTCTAAGTTCTTCACATGTTCTGGGACATGATCCCCATCAGATTTTGCAAATATTTTCTCCCATTCCCAGATTATCATTTCATTTTATTGTGTCCTTTAATACACAGAAGTTTTGAAGTTTGATGTAAGCCCACTTTTCTTTTGCCTTTTGTTGCCTGTGCTTCTGGTATTACAGCAAGCAAATTGCTGCTAAAGCTTTCCCTGTTTTCTTCTGGAAATTGTATAGTTTTAGGTCTCAAATTTATATTCCTAATCCATTGAGTTAATTTTTTTTTAAATATGGAGGACAGTAAGGGTTCGACTTCACACTCTGCACATGGATATCCAGTTTCCTACTGCAGAAGAGATCAACCTTTCCCTATCTACAGTGCCCTTGGAGAAAAGTCATCTGACAGTAAATGTGAGGGTTTATTTCTGGGATTTCTATCCTACTTCATTGCCTGTCTGTCTTTATGCCAGCACCACACTGTTTTGAAAAACTAAGTCCAACATATGACCAACAAAAATCACTTTCTCCTTCGCCTTGGGAACTTTTCTGAATTTTAAGAAAAAAAATCACGAGCTATATCAGAAACAAGGTACATAGAAAGGTAAAATTTATGATCACAAAAGCAACACTTAGATCAGTAAATACAGCATGGCCCTCACTTTCCTTCCCCTCTGAACACTTTTCTGATCACAAAGTCCTCCTTTCCACAGGTTATTGGTATTCTGATGTTTCTGATCATTATTTTCTTCTCTTTAGAGCTCAGTAGTAGAGCATCTGCTGCATGTACAAAGCCCTGGGTTCCATGCCCAGCACACAAAATAACCCAAAAGCAAACACTGGGGAGGTTTTACCATTAAGTGTGTTAATGGATACTTGTGCATCTTCCCTTTTATTCATTTTAAAGTAGAGTATTTTCTACTTTCCTTCTTTTGAAAAAGTCAGATTTTTTGTATGTGATTACTGTGGTTTTTTTGGTCAGTATACATTTAAGGCCGACTCAAGACCTGCTGGTCACAATGCTTAAAGACTCTGTTTCCTAAACAACTGATCAGAGGCTTTCAGAGGTTCTGTCTTGTTCTGGAGGTCATTCCTAACAGGAAGGCTTGGCCCAGAAACACATGACTGATGAATACGTATGTCTTCTGCAGGCACCAAGTCTCTATCTTGGGTGCACCTGGGTTAATGTGGGAGAAGCCTGCAATTATGTCAAGAGGGCACTCGGGTATGACAATTACTCTGAGCTTGGAAGCAGATTCTCCCCTCCTGATCCCTCAGATGATACTGTAGCCATGGTGATGGCATAACTGCAAAGTCATGAGATACTGATCCAGAACTACCCAGCTCCTTCCCTTACTTATGATCCAGAAACTGTGGCAATTATTTCAGGCTACTGGATTGGGTGCTCTACCACTGAGCTTACATTTCCAGCCCTTTTTTGATTTTGAGACAGGGTCTCCATAAACTGCCCAGGCTGGCTTCAAACTTGCAATATTACCCACAGGTCTCCTGAGTTGCTGGATTAGAGGTTTGTGCCATGGCATGCAGGTAACTAGCTATATTTTGACATAATTTTCTATAAAATAATAAGTCTTCTTTTCCCAAACCAGAAACAAATAAATAGTAAACTATTATTAATGTGAATAAAACACATGCTTCACACTTCTTTCCCATTTGAAATTATTCACAGCTACAGTATCTATATGTTAAATTTTGAACAACGAAGTCAGTAGTGATCTAGTATAAAAGCTTTTGGATTGTAGTTTTGACAAGTTTTTGGTCCTATTTAACACAAGGTTAATATGATAAAAAATAATTATCAATATTTAAACTGCTGGGCTGGGGTTGTGGCTCAGTGGTAGAGTGCTCACCTAGCATGCATGAGGCACTGGATTCGATCCTCAGTACCACATAAAGATATTGTGTCTACTTAAAACTAAAAAATAAATATTAAAAATATTTAAACTCCTAATAAATTTATATGACTATTATTTAATAGGATGGTCAAATACTTTTTTAAAAATACCACTTGTGGGCTGGGGATATAGCTCAGTTGGCAGAGGTGCTTGCCTCACACGCACAAGGCCCTGGGTTCAATCCCTAGCACCACAAAAAACAAACAAAACAACAACAACAACAAACCCACCTTGCCCAAAGAATGCCCAATTCAAGCTCAAAGATTATTTCCAAAACTGCACTCATGCACCAAACATTAATGTATTTGGCACAAAGGGGGCTTGGAATAAATGTTTCTTGAAGAAGGTGGTGAAAAACTTTTAAACCACTATGAATATAGCATAAAAGCCACTGTCAGTTTAACTAATGATTCAATATCAGGAGAACATTACAAAACACAGGAATTCCCCTGTACTCAAAACTCCCATGTCTCGAGCTGGGGATGTAACCCAATGCTAGAGTACTTGCCTAGTATGCTTAAGGCTCTGTTTGTTCAATCCCCAGCACCACAAAAAAATCAATAACAAAAACCTACGAAATGACCCAATTTGATGGTGCTTCTCTAGTTCTTCTTACCCAAATCTTTGGCGAGAAGGATGATATGTGATTGCTCTCTTCCTGCTAAAACTACATCAGTAATAAAGAAATAAAAATGTGTTTGACACAATTGACAAAGATGACAGCAAAAGATACTTCAAAAAGCTGCGTGAAGGATAGAAAACAGATGAAATAATAAAAATTAGGAAGTCTTAAATTCAAATGGCTAATAACAATTAAAATAAGAAGTGATTAATCAAAACAAAAATAGTAAAGCTAGCAGTGAAATACTTAACCCTAAAAAAACCCTATTTAGAAATTTAAGAGATGCACCAACAAAATCATGGAAGGAACAGGGCTGAATAGAGAAATGATTATGTGTATTTGGTCCCCTCTAACATATGCAAATAGACCCATCATTTCTCAGCTGAGCATAATCTCTCTGGGCATCCATTCTCTCATTTGCCATGAGAGAATAATACTTACTTTACATGATTATCAGGAAGACTGAGTCAATACATATCAAGGGCATAAGAGTAATATTACCTGGTACATGGTCAGCTTGCAACAAATTGTTATTTTAAACTTTTCACACTAATTACTTTCCAATTAATTATAGTGTATTTATTACCTTAAAAACCACTGTTAATAAAATCATCATTGGAGACACAAATCAGAGATGTAACAACAGCACTTTCATCTTGTGAACACGATTCCACAATGAATACAACAGTGACACTTTGGCTTAGTCTCAATGCAAGAGTGTCACAGATAAGTTCTAACAACAGTAAAGTTGGGGCTAGTATTGAGAGGAAATGGGAGACTTAACATCATTCTGCAGATATAATAGACGTACATTGCTTACTTATGAACAAATGAGGACCTGATTACTACAGTAATTAGAAGTAACACACATAGGAATAGACTGAAATGAGAACTAAAACTCAATCCATAAATACACGAGAAATTTTACCTAGAAATCTTATTGTTTGAACTATCTAAAAATCATATATTGCAACAACAAAACTAGAGGTTAATTATTTTTTATTATTGAATTATACTGTAAATCTACATCTATGATTTAATCAGGAAGAAATGCTTTGTGTTTACAACAAGGACACATTTACTCTAGTGGAATAAAACAGACACAGACAAAAGACCAAATACATGTTTGTTTTTTTAAAAAAGAGTACACATTTTACCCAGTCCTTTTGCTATTTTGGACCATACTTTTCCTATTAGAGAACTGATCTTACATAAATGTCAAGTCTGATTTATCTCCTCACATTTTTAAACATTAAATGGAGTTCCTCACAATTTCTAATTATAACCAAACAACTGAAAACAATATGGGAACAATGTCTGAAAACAAAAAAAATAGTGTAGATGGATATTACCTGATAGTTGAAAAGTTGAGTAAAACATGCCTCTTCTGTGGCTCATCTCAAAGCAACATTTTAATTCAAAGAGGAAAGCTTTTCAGATCTATGAGTGCCTTTGCAGAATCAGACCTATAGGTGTGTCTGGTCTGAATTGCAGAAGTTGAGTAAAAATGTCTACAAAATACCTAAAATCTAAAAATCAGAATAGTGCTAGTTCAAACAAAAAGTTTGGTGGTCTAAATACACCTTCAATTTCTTCCTTTGTTAAAATTATCTTTTATTTTGGATGGTATTTTAAAAATAACTTATGTTTTTAGTGTGCTTTATGGTCAATGACGATAAAGTTGCAAATCAAATGATTAAGTTTAAAGTTTTTATGTTTTACCTGATTCTACTGAAATTTCTTTCCATCACCTACAATTTTATGCAACCAAGTTATACATGAGGTAAGTTTTAGCTAAAAAGTTAAAATAAATCAACCACAAAGATAAAGCTAACCATATTTCAAGAGAATACAAAATCATAATGCCCACTTTGCACTGAAAGTTTACAACTTTAACTACTACTTGTATGTAGTTTAATAGCAAATACTTTTTTACTTTTTAATCAAACCATAGCTGGAAATATATGGGGAAATAAAACACTTGGCAAAAGTTTGTTTTTGGTAATAGAAGACAATGCAACAAAGAATCCAAATGGAACAACACCAGTATTTAAATTTCTAACTTTTAAACAAAACACATACACACACTTACTTTTCTTAAAAAAAAAAAATTCTGGTAGTAAATTGGATTGACAGAATCTTCAGTTGTAAATAAAAAGTATAAATTTCCAATTTTAGCCTTCTAGCTAGCTAACATGTACAGCCAGCTAGTTCTCTAAAACAAGTATTATGTCACCCTAAAAGATCCCTGCTAAAAATCAATTGTATTTAAATGGGTCTTACTGAAAGAGGACATTCATGATATTAGAAATCTTTTAAAAAGTGAGTATGATAGGGCTACAATAGCAACATTACTATTAATAAGTTACAGAAGAGATTATTGCTGTACTTTCCCTCATAAACACTGTCAAACTGTTTCAGTTACAAAAGTACAACCAAATTACTTTCTCTTACCAAATTTCAATGTTCCACCTCTGTAAAATTTTATTCAGCAGAGAATAATTCTTAATCTTTTCTGTAAGAATTCAAAGTATTTAAATGTGTAATTTCACATTATACTACCATGTTTTGCCCTTCTTGTTTTCCAAATACACAAAACAATATATTTTCCCAAAAATGAAATAAGATGTCCACATTAAAAAAATAAAGCCTACAAAAAGTTCCAGAGCTAAAAAAGATTATCCATATGGCACAAAGTGATCTCCCACTAGTCCAAAGTCCAAAACATTTAAATGAAGTTCATTCAGATATCTTGTTTGCTTTTCCATGGAATATTAAATTTGAAGTGAAATCACATTATTTTTAGTTCTTGAGTCAACAAATATACACAAATGTTTTTCTAGTTATTAAAAATAGGAGACCAAGTTGAATGTGCCAAAGTGATATAATTCAGGTGGATTTTCTATTTTCATCATGAAGAAAACGAGAGAAAGGATTTCCTTGGTTGGTTTCCATAGCTTGATAAACCAAAAACAAAAAAACTGCCACAACAACAAACAGCAAAATTTTTATCCATACGGGAATGGAACGTCCCTTTTTTGTCTTTTCTGATTTGACATCTGCCAAAGGAACATACTTAGGAACATATTTAGATGAGAAAGATTCCTCCATCCTGAAATCACCGAGTTCTAATGGCCGGCCTGCAGCCCCTTTGATTGGTCTGCGGCAACTAGCACTGTTGAAAGTAAAAGGAGAAAGAGAAAAATAATTTTAGATGAGCTCATGATTTGAACAAGTAACATAAAACGTCATACCACTTCTAATTCTAAGAATATTCCATGAGGCAGCAGTACAAAATTGATATATATAAAGCCACAAGGTCAAGTCAATTTAAAACTTCTAAACATTTTCCACTTTAAAAGTCAGATGTATCTTTTATTAGAAAATAATATGCAGAACATTGATAAATGCTCACTGGACTTGCCTTAAAAGTTATTTTCAAAGCAAGTATATTTAGGAGAAAATTAAAACATAAGGTAGTTTTGGCTGTGATTCTTTCAGTAAGGAAGTAATTCAACAGGTAAATCTAACTCCAGTTTTTTCAATTAGAAAGGATAAATGCACGAAATAATTGATTTCCTTCAGGGCTTGGGATGTAGCTTAGTGGGAGAGCACATGTTTAGCATGGACAAGGCCATGGGTTCAATCACAGCACCATAAAAAATAAATGAGGGAAGAGACTGAAGGCCTGGGGTTATACCCCAAGTACTGCCAAATAAATAAAATTAAATAAATAGAAGGTAAAAGATTTATTTATAATCCTTCAACTTGACAAGTTAATTTTTTTTTATTAGTTGTTTTGACAAGTTAATTTTGAAAATGATTCAACTTTCAAGGACACGAATAACTTGTGGCTTAGGGGAATTAATCTGTTCCCCAAAGAACAGTTTAATTCTGAAAACAGAGTAAAATAACTTTGTAATGAAGAATTCCCTAGCAGAGTACACTTATACTTGATTCAGTATTTCCAAGTACCTAATTCCTGTTGGTGTAGATGCTTCATAGGGGAACATTTCCTTAAGAATATCTCTTTCTACTCTTCTTTCCTCTGTTTTTTCTCCCACCTAACAAAAGAGAAAGAAACAAGTTAAAATTCAATATAAGTGTGTAATAATTTTAAATAGAAGTTTTAGAGAACAAAAATGCCCTTTAATCTATCCTAGCTTTTATGACTGCCGTTTCTAAATTTATTACCATCTAGGTATTCACAGAGTTCTACGGCTCTCTAAATTTCTTCATCATGAAGTGATATTAATGTGGCTATTGGGGGAAAACTGCAATGCCAATAAACAGGGGGAAAAAAAAAATTCAGCAACCTAATGTGGCAGTGTAAATTCCCTCAATGATTTTCCATGTTTTTCATTAATAAAACATTAAGAATACATTTTTTCTTATTAGGAATTTCATTATAAAATAAAATAATCAAATATAGGAAGTGACCAATTAACATGGACCTTTAACCAATTCTAGTTTATGTTTAAAACTATAGGCAATGCAATCTCCCCAGCTTAGAAAAAATTTTGGCTTGTTTTGCTGTATATGTTTACCTTTAAAACCCACATCAAAATAATTTCATCTTCTTTAATAAAGATTCATAAAAATTATAATGTATCATGCAGTTAGTACTTTAAAGCGAAATTATACAGGAGTTAATCCATTCAAGCACCACACAAAGTCACTTTAAAGTCCCATTATTTAACATTTCGACAGAAGAAAAATGTAGCATCCCTCACAGCCCAGGCAGCACTTCTAAACTTGCATCCATGACAAATAGAACATATTACAAGCAGCACATAAATGACCACTCCTTTGAAAACCAGAACTTAAGAAGGCACATAGCAGCAAAAGGGTAGTATTAGCATGGCATACTATATTAGTTAATTTCTGTTTTCACTATCAAAAGTGTCTTGAAATGCGTGTGCACACGCACGCGCGCGCACACACACACACACACACACACACACACACACAAACCACCACCCAAGAAAAGAAAGCTCTGTTCCCTCCCACTGGAGAAAAAAAAAAAAACAACCCAAATATAAATATTTCCTCTTTAAAAGATCAATGATAGCATCGATCTAAATTTTATTCATTTACTTCAGCTCTCGTCAATGGTTTCTTTGGTGTTCTTCTGGGTATGTCTGAGAATTCAGTGATTGGCAGAATAGAAGTTGCATGCTTGAAATTTCCAGTCACCCTATTGACAACCTGCCAAGATTCAAATTATTCAGACTCAGAATTATCCAAACATAACAGACACTTAAAAAGAAAATATTCTATTTCTGTAACACGTGACTTTCCCTTAACAAAAATTTAGGCAATGGAGCCCAGAAACACACACGTTGAGTACTTTATAGGTGAAGTCTTATAGTTCTTCAAATATTTAGTAAAAAAGTATGGATTCTTGTGTGAGGAATTGAACTTATTTGTAATAAAATAGCTATATTGAAAAATTCTAAAATTCAGAACTATATGGGGGGAAAATCCATTTGAAATATTAAAATTTTGTAGATTTTGAGATTTGCCAAAATTTACCACCTCCCCATTTCGAATTAAAGGGCAATTTTCAAAGAAGACCACTTGTATAGTTCACAAAACATATTTACTAAGGATTCGTTGCTTGAAGCCATTATAGTTTCAGCTATGGGAGTACTCTCTGAAATTACTGCACCATCTATACGAAAATGTTGTGAAGTTTCCACCTGTTAGTTTGAAAACAAAACAAAAACAATAAATATAAAGTAATCACTAAAACCCTACCAATCTGAAAACCCAATTCTAAGGAATAAGCCTTGCATCACCCTTTTCCTTGGAGTTCTTCTTGACCCTCTTGGAGATTCCCTAGTTAATGCCTGCAGAGGTCCGCCTTTGGAAGATCCACTTGTCCATTCAGTCTCAGTTACTCCACCTTGTGAATAGCTCTATTTAAGCATTGACACATTAAAAAGTCATATTCTAACATCAAACACCCTAAAAATGGCCACATTAGCACACTGCAAAGCCAACAAGTCTCCAAATGCCAGCATTTACAAACAATGCTATGCCCTCAAAACATTTCTATTGAACGACTGAACATTCAGCATCAGAAAAACTCTTAAAGAATCATAAAATACACTAAAGAGTCCACCAATAAGAGGGAAAAAGACACCAATTATCACTGGGTCCTTTTGTGATTCATTGTATGCTTGGGCAGCTCTAATAATGCAGCTGCAACTCTTGTCTCAACAAAGAAGCAGAATGATCATGACTTAAATGAAAGTCATTTATTATATAGCAGGTCAATTTCCTTTAAAAACAAAAACACAAACTTTTGGCTGAGGATGTAGCACAGTGGTAGAGTGCTTGCCTAGCATGTGCAAGGCTCTGAGTTTGATCCCTAGCATTGTAAACAAACCAACGAGAACTTTTCTGACTGTTAGAACAGATCAAACATTCTTTTCATGTGATTAGTATTATTTCAATAGAAACAGTTTGAATTATAAACCATACTTGGCTATGTAAACTAAAAAATTCCCAGGTGTCAAACTCTTAGAAACAAACAGAATCAAACAAGAAAAACCTAATGATCACCCTAGTGAATACACAAACACAGTATGTCACTGCCAAATCACAATGCTCCCACACCTCATACAGAAAGATAGAAAGGTAACAGTGATGGTTACTGCTTTCTAGTTCCGGATTAATTTCTCCCTGGAAGGGGGGGGGGAATCAACAGATTATTTTTTAAGAAATAATTTTATTAGTTCCTGGATGCTTACAGTTTGAAATTCATTAGGCCAAATATATATATCAATCACCTGAACCTTTTGTTAAAATGCAGAATCTGATTCAGAGGTTCTGGAACAGAACCTAAGATTCTGCATTCCAAGTAACAAGCTTTCAATTTTGAAGCCACTATTATCAGATGATTATTTTAAATTTCTTCTAACTAGATAACATCAATTAATTATTAGTATTACAGCACAGTGTGCCTAGGTTGTCACTTTTCAAGATAATATTTTACCTAGATAACTGGTAGTTTTATGACCAAGTTAGTGTCTGAGTGTCTGTTAAATTTAAAGAAATATTTATTCTTATCCTGTATCAAGAAAAATTATTTTAAAATATGCAAATTTGTACCAAAACCTCACAAAGGAACATTGTCTCATGTATCTGATTTTATATTTATCTGTACTTGGAATTGACATAAGAGTTTACTTTTTCTCACAATCTAAATCTGTGTTCCTTATCCAACTAACAATTAGGAAATACTTGCTGAATGTAAAATTATAATTAGTCTAAAGACAAATGTGTAAGCAAATCACAAAACATAATAAATGCTTAATAGCAGTCAAATTTTTAATTATTTAAAAATAAGAAAAAATAATAGTTTTAATTTGAGACTCTCAATCTTGGTGGTAGAGTATCATCTGGGGAGAGCTTTACAATCTATTGAATGCTCCCAATCCTCACCTCAGACCAATTAGATCAGAATCCTTCTAAAAGGGTCTAGACAGGGCTGGGGGTATAGCTCATTGGTCAAGTATATGCTTAATGTCTGCTATGCCCTAGGTTCAATTTCTAGCACCAATGAGTAAACAAAAATTAAAAAATAAATAAATAAAAAGGTCTGGATACAGTTAATTCTTATTGCTCTTAAGAGGATTCTAATGTGCAGAGTTGGGAATAACTGGCTTAATATAACTGCAGTAGATTTAACATGCACCTTGAAGTTAAGGAAAAAATCCTACTTTGAATATTGGTCTCTTTTTAAAAAAATTTATTTTTATGTGTACTTGGACAAAATACCTTTATTTTAATGTGGTGCTGAGGATCGAACCTAGGGGCCGGCACATGCTAGGTGAGCACTCTATTTCTGAGCCATAACCCCAGCCCCGAATATCATTCCCTTTTAAATAATTAATTATTCAATGCTGGTCAAAATAATTAGAAGTATTTAAAAAATATTTTAGTTTGATAGTCTATTTGACATGTATTGAGTACTTAAAAACTCTTCAAAGAATTACATTACTTGAAAGAACTAAGTTTATCAGTTGTGTAAGTGACACAATAAAACCAGACACTTTACCTATAACCAAGATGAAGGTAAAGGGGCTGGGGAAGACAATCTTTTTCCTTAGAATTGATCATCTACCAAACTCAAGGATTAACTTTCTTTCTTTCTTTCTTGGTACCAGGGATTGAACCCATGGGTGCTTTACAACTGAGCTACAACCCCCTTTTACTGTGCCAGGCCAAATTCCAGAACTTTGTTATGTTTTGGATTGAATAAATAATAGTCCATTAAAAACTTTACCAAACATCTACTGAAATAATAATTATGGTTAATTAAAAATAAAGTTTACATTTTCAAAGTTAAATTTCATTTAAAGTTCTTTATAATCTTTTGTGGCAGGTAACACAAGGAACATGTTAACATGTTGGATGACTGAGGGCCTACTTGAGAATTCTAAAAATAATCTATATTTCTTTTGTTCAGATTTTATAAGTCCTTAGAAAATTTCAACCAGTTTTATTAGTTCCCATCATTATTCTATTTAGGATTAGTGATCCTTACGGAAAACTGAGAACCTTTAACACAATTAAAAAAGATATTCTAGGGGCTCGAGCTATAGCTCAGTGGTAGAGCATTTGCATGTGTGAAGCACTGGGTTCAATCTTCAGCACCACATAAAAATAAATAAATAAAGATATTGTGTCCAACTAAAACAAAAAGATATCCTAAGGATTTTTTTATTAGAACCCACATCATAAATGACTTTAAGCTGGGTGTGATGTCACTCGCCTGTAATCACAGCTGCTCCGGAAGCTGGGGCAAGAGGATTGCATGTTCAAAGCAGCCTCAGCAACAGCAAAGCACTATAAACAACTCAGTCAGACCCTGTCTCTAAATAAAGTACAAATCAGGGCCAGGGATATGGCTCAGTGGTTGAGTGCCCCTAAGTTCAATCCTGATCACCCCCCCAAAATTAAAAATATAAAATTATAATTCAGTACTATAATTATTTAGTAAGATGATAAACAATGATTAAAAAGAAGCTCACTGAGATGTAAAATTAGAAATGTGATTGCTGTGTATTTTGCAGACAAAATAAGAATTGCAGTATCATCTATGTTCAGTGAGATGTTTTCATATTGCCTTCTGATAATATATCAGGCAAAAAGTCAGTCAAAAGATATTAAGTAGCTGAGGCACTTGAGAACATTTGCAGGAGAGCTAGGTTAAAAAGGCAATAAATCCTCATCAACAAAAAGACAAGCACTGAGCTGGGGATATAGCTCAGTTGGTAGAATGCTTGCCTTGCATGCACAAAGTCCTGGGTTCAATCCCCAGCACCACCATCAAAAAAAAAAAAAAAAAAAGGAAAAGACAAACACTCACCTTGGCATTATTCATAACAGCATACAAATGAAAATTACTCAAATATTAACCAAAGGGAAGTGGCTAAATAAATTACAAACTTCAACACAAAGTGCAGTTGTACAAAACAATGAGGAACATGGATAAATTTGGATATGGAGTGATCTGGGATATGTGCTTAGGTTAAAGACAATATACAAAGTAGGCTGCCTTTTAAGCAAGGAGAAAGGGAACAAACATATATACATACATATCACATATATGCATAAATAAATTTGTGCATTTATTTATATTTTCAAAAAGAAACTAACCAAAGTTTGGTTAAAGGAAAAAAAAAAAAAAAAAAAAAAAAAAAAAAAGAAAAAACAACAAAACCCCCCCTAACAGTACATTAAGTTGTGGCTTTAGGACACAAATAAAAAGTCTTTCAAGTGTATTTAAGAAGAGCATTTGACTTTATATCCTAATGAAATATGCCCTAAAGAAAAGGAAAAATAAAGTCTTAAACCACATTTAGCAATCTTATTGTTAGAATACTGTGAAACACCTGTGATATATAAGATATACTATCATTTGAAGAACCAAGATACTAAGCATTTTAGAAGAGATATAAGTGTAACACCCAAAAGTTCACCATTCATTCATGATTTACTTTTCTCCGAAAAGGAGTAAAGCAATGGCAACTTCTTAGAAGGAGCACCCTAGCAAGAAATTACCAAAGACATATGGGAGACAATAAAAGAATACAGGAACCAACTTAGTAATTCCCACTGACAAAAGATGGCACACTGTGGGGCTGGGGTTGTGGTTCAGCGGTATGTGCAAGGCACTAAGTTTGATCCTCAGCACCACATAAACATAAATAAAATAAAGGCATTATGTCCAAGTACAAAAAAAAAAGATAGCACACTGTGAAAAAAAAAAAACAACAAAAAACAAAAACTAATGCTGTGGGTGGAAGGAAAAAATGACTACAGTACACATAGTACATCACAAGTCAATATGTAAAGTTTTATTGCTAACCCTTCGACATATTAATTATTAATATCAATTTGAAAACTGGCAAACAAAAGGCAAGAAAGCATTTCTCTTGGTTCTCTTGTATAAATTTTTTTTAATATTTATTTTTTAGGTATAGATGGGCACAACACAATGCCTTTATTTTTATGTGGTGCTGAGGATCGAACCCGGGTCATACTGGTGCTAGGCGAGAGCTTTACCTCTGAGCCACAATCCCAGCCTCTTGTATAAAATTTTATTTTTAGGTACCTGAGAAATTTATGAGGAATGGTTCTTTATTAAAAAAAAAAAAAAAATCCTGGTCATAGATATAAAGGAGTGAGATACTGAGACAAATCACCATTTTATTTATTTATTCTTAAATTTTTTGGTAGTTAATAGATGGACAGAATGTCATTTTATTTATTTGTATGTATTACTGAGGATCAAACCCAGTGCCTCATGCATGCTAGGCAAGTACTCTACCAATAAGCTTCAGCCCCAGCCTTCACCATTTTATAACCATTTTATCTTTTTTATTGCTGTGAATTGAACCTGGGGTGTTGAGCATGCTAAGCAAGTGCTCTACCACTGAGTTACATCCCAACCCTCAAATCACCATTTTAGAACCTCAAATAAAATAATGGATTTAAGTAATAATCATTAATAACAACTGGAACCATTATAATGAAAGGCCAATGTAAAACTTCTAATTGAATAGATCATTCTTTCAATATCTGAACCTACTACTCATTAATTTTGGCATATCAAAAGGGCATATATATATATATATATATATATATATATATATATATATATATATACACCTCCTGAAATGATCAATAGGAAGACTACAGCATCATTCTTGCCAAAGAAACTGAACCTGAATCTAACCAACCCTTCAGATCTGTTCTGTTCAACATGGAAGCCACTAGCCACATGTATCAATTTAAATTTAAATTAAATATAATTAAAGACTTGGTTTCTCAGACATGCTAAGACAAATTCCACGTGTTCAAACCCTAGACACTACTGTAATGAACAGCACAGATATAAAACATTTCTATCATTAGTGAATGATCTATTGGACTAACTTCCAGTGTATAGGATACACAGGGTCTAGAAGAGCAAATTACATGATCTGACAAATCAAATCCAGAATGTGGGAGAGAATCTAATGACCTAATTTCTAGACCAAATAAATGGAGGGAAGAAAAGCAGTTATAGTAAGAATAGCCACAGACTTAGAAATCTAAAAAATTCATTTAAAAAATAAAATACAATGTATGGATCTTGTCTGGATCCCTGACTGATCCAAACAAATGTAAAATAGAAAAGTGCAACACTTCTAAAACTGGAATAACATGAACAGTTTAGATATTAAAAAAAACTAATAATTTTACTAGGTGGGAAAATGACACTGTCATTTAAATAGCTATCTTTGAGAGATAAACATTAAAATATTGATACTAACATGTGAAATATGTTAGGGATCTGCTTTAAATACTCCAACAAAAGGCAAAACAACAAAATCAAAAGCAATTTAAAAAGCTGGATGGAAGATGTAGGTGAAGATGAAACTAAATTGGTAATATATTGATAACTAGGACATCCTTGACTGGAGAGTTATTAAACTCTTCCCTCCACTCTTCTTTTTTACATTTTTTGTAATAAGACCACAGTTTTATTCTGCCTGTCAACTCCTTAACCTCAACTCTCCTTTGACTATTTATCCTGCTCCTCAGTTTAGATTCCCCAAACAATAACCATTAAACCATCTTTAAACCCCATACCTTCCTTTAATCTACTATCAGATCAGACACACATTCTTGGTAGACACCTTGCCTTCATATTCTGGAACAAAATCCTCCATGCTTGTCTATTGCAGTACCTTTCATGATATTCCTAATTTCTTCTGCTCTTACTCTTATTTCTGTATTCCTTAATATGACTCTAAAGCTCTTTGCTAGCAAAACTCTAAAGTCAATGAAATACTTATTCTGGTATTTAGTTCTGTATCAAAACAGAACAGGACTGGGGCTGTGGCTCAGTACCACATAAAAAAAATAAATGAGTGAAATAAAGGTATCATGTCCAACTACAAAAAAAAAATTCATTCAATACCTGACACATTTTCTGTAGTCATCCAGCTTATTTTTAATAAATGGTTCTAAAATTACACGTACCAACTACATCAAATGAACAGAGGAACATGGCTTACAAGAACATGTTGGGTTGGGAATTTAACTCAGTGGTAGGTTCATGATTAAGATGCATGAGGCCCTGGGTTCAATCCCAGCTACGCATGCATATGTGCAAATGAATACAAACACACACAAAATTCCATTTTAGGACATGTGCACCCCCCCTGCCGCCCACCCTTACTGAGAATTGAACCCAGGAGCACTCGACCTCTGAGCTCTATCCCCAGACCTTTTGTTAAATGTTAAGTTGCCCAAAGACAGCCTCAGTCTCAAAAGTAGCTGGAATTACATACTTATGCCACCATGCCCAAGTGCAACTTTAAATGATAAACAGAACATGGAAAAGATAAATAGCTAACTAGATAAAATAAACAACTAAAGACTAAGGACAAGGAAAAAGACTGTAGAGAAAAGTTATTAAATTAAAGCCAATAATTAGTTCTCTATAAACTAGTTCATTTATAACTATGTTGATTTTCCCCTTAATTTCCCTTTGCATTTTGCTTCTTACACAAAAAGTCAATTTTCATCTAGAATGTGAAATAGCGTCAGAGTTTAGGGAAACACCACAAAAGACAAAGCAGGTAAAAGTAAAAGCAAATTCAGAAATCCAGAGAAAAAGACACAAATATAAAACTACCCCCTGCCTTTTAAAGAAGCTGTACCAAAAGCACTAAGACATTTCTATCTTTTAAAATATTTCTCTCAAAAAGCTGTATGGTAGTAGAGCACTTGCCTAGCACCCATGAGGCCCTGAGTTTGATTTCAGCAACTGGGAAAGAGAGGCAGTTTGACCAGCTTTGAACCATGCTTAGTACAGAATCAAACACAAATGAGACTTTTATCAAACACTTGCTTTTGCAGTAAACATAACCTACAATACTGATATACCCCAAAGTTTAGATTTCCCATGCCATGTAGCTAACTATGAAATCAAGTTAATAGTACACTGAATCTGGGTATCAACTGTTAACCAAATTTAACATGACAGATGAGTGTCATCGGATTACTTCAATCTGTACACGTTGATTACAAAGCTAAATATACCTGGTTGTGCTCAAGTCTTCTTTGCTTGAGTGTTACTGGAGTCTTTGCTCTGCCCTTTAGTGGTTCTCTCTTCTCAAGCTTGAGCTCTATTTTAGAGTCTGGAAATAATATTGGAGAAACCATTACTTTCTGAAACATGTAAGTTATGTTCTCCTAACACAATTTGGGAATCCAGTTTTCGGCACATTAATACATAAAACAAATTTGTCTATTGTCTATTGTGATATCTCAATAGACCAAAATTATTTAACTACAGTTTGTCTTAGAAACTTTTACTATTATATTCCATTTTTAAAAATTCCCTCTTTAAATCCCATTCCCACTTCCTACTTAATTCTCCTTTTCTTTTTCTCAGACTAATAGAATTAAATATAAAAAAGTGTATTCCAACTGCTCCTGGAGGCTTTTCACTAAAAAACAATTTCAAATATGGGAAAAAGACATTAAAATAGTCAACACAGTTTGCCATTCTTTTGTCCATGTAGTATATTGCTACTACATGACAAAAGTTAGCTTGTTAAATTTAAGTTTGGTGTGTGGAAAAGAAAAACCACATAGATTTTTAAGAATTAAAATAATCTGTATTATATTAAGCCTCTAAAAACAGTACATGGTAATTGTCAATGATATTAACATGTAAGTGCAATCTAAAAGTCTCTTCTCAATGAGGGGTATAGCTCAAAAGTCCTGGGTTCAATTACCAGCACCCAATTAATCCATTTTTGATGCAGTCACAAAAAGTCGAGATGAAACCGAGATAAGAAGGAATCTTGTTCACAGAAAAGTTACAACAATCACAGGGCACTTCTCTTTCCCTTCCCCATAATAAAAATGTATTTCTTTGAAGATGAGTCAGTATTTGCTACATTTTTCATATATTTCAATTTTTCACTTTTCTGGTCTTGATTTTATTGTCATTTGAAGACCTCCATTTAAAAAAATATGTACCTTTCCCATTTTTGTGGTCATTTATTATAGTGTAGCAAACTTAGTTATCAGTTGGTTCTTCTAAAAACTTCTACCACCAAAAATTTGTTATATAATTTTCTTACCAAAAACAAGAATGGAGTCAATTCTTAAAGCTCAATTTTGTATGAATTCAATGTAGTTGAGCTACAAAGTGGTCAATATGGCTATGATACACTTGTCCTGCTAACTTCCAATCTAATATTAGTTAGTCTAGAATTTATTTGCAAGTTTCCCAAAAAGAAAGGTGATTTTTATCAAGTTAGTTCAAACAGTTCAATCTTCATTTGGGAATAGGCTATCAACTATATTCCCCCATTTCCCAACATTTCCACTAATAGATATATTTGGTACAACCCTTAGCATCATAAAAATTTACTTTTATTCTTTGTTAACTTGAAATCTAAGAATTAGAAAGCACAAGGTAAAATACTTATAGGCAAGCAGAAACTGATTAGGCAAATAATTTATCTGATTACAGATTAATTCCCCTTATTAATTTAGATTCCAACAGTCAATAAAAACATGGTCTTCAATAGAAGAAAATCCACACAACAATAACTAGAATATTTAATTATACTATTGGAATGTTAAGTGAGTTTCAATGATGAAATGGAAATGAAATGTTCATCCACAAATATTCAACTTGTTTGAAACTTCAAGAATAAAGCACACGTACAACATGTTTCTGGAGACCACACAAAACTGTTCAAATTTAACAACTTTATTGATTTGTAGGAGCATTCTACATCAATACATTTTTTAAAATCACAAAGTACTTAGTAGGTACATGTATACATGTACATTTTAGAAGACAAATAACAAAATTACTCCCAGAAAGCTGCAAAGATGGAATGTGTAGTCTAAGAATAAATGGATAGAGAACTGAGGGACCATATTCTGTTATGCTGAGACTACCATTTCCCACAATGTCTCTACAATCAGATTCTTTTATCTTACAATCATAGAAATGAAAACAGGATAATACACTGTTTTATACAGACATAGACACTGGGATATAGTATGATTTCTTAAGGCTTTAAGAAAAAGCTTATAAATTTGCTTTTCGTATCAAGATTATTAAGCCTAATCATCCATGAAATACCACATACCTCAAAAGAAAAGTTTTTGTTTTTTTTTTTAAAAAGCCCCATCTCTCCAGTGTCTAGTTCATCTGACAAAATAGAGTGGTAGTGTATGCTTCTACTATCCTAGACTATTTAAGTGAGGTCCATGAATTGTTAGTTAATTCGGAAGTGATGAGGCATCTGTATCAGATTGTAAAGCCATATACTGCTTTTGCTATCAATAAGTGTATTACATAAATAAATCCTTTCATTGATCTAAAAAGTGCCTTTATTTTTAAATTCTTTTATTAAAAAAGCAATGGGGGATGGGGAGACTAACCCAGGGCCTTGCACATACTACACTCCTGAACTATGTCCCGAACCCCTTAGTCTTAAAATTTTTGTGCATGTTTGTCTGTGGATCAGTAATAGTTTGTGAACTGGTTACTTTAAGTTGCACTGATCTAGAATATTATGAATGCTACTGCAGGTATCAGCATATAACAAACAAAAAAATAGAAGTATAGACAACTTCTAGAAAGTGAAGTATCAAAAAGGATAAATCATTGCTTTAAATGTGTAATTAGTGTTTAATTCTACCCTAGATAGAAAAGAATATGCATATGATATTTGAAGCAGTGAAGAATCTACTTATTTTAGTATTGAAATTCTCTCAGTTTTGAAGAGTTGTAAAAAGTATAATAGGAAACATTAAATGTTTGAGACAAATATATGATCTATAAAGCTTAAAACTTTATCAGCCTTTCTATCTGTGTAAATCTAAAAGAGCAGTTCCACATAGGGAATGACTTATCAAAGATAAGACAGGTGACTTAGCTCTTAACTTTATTTTTTTCCACGCTTTTTAATTACTTTGTGTACTTCTCCTCCAAATAATGTTCCACCTTTAAAGGGAGTCACAGTCAGCTTATTCTTAGAAGCTGGATTAATTTTGCAATCCTTCAACCAGAGATATCGACGACCAAGAGTGGAAGATCCCATGGTATAGGCTGCCATCTTCACTTCATCAAATGCAGCTTCACAAAGAAACGAAGCTGCATCATATGTTTTGCTCAGAATATTGAGTGCCTGGTGTGTACGACTAGGATCTGAGCTAATAATTTGTGCAGCCTGACTAATGTCTGCTTGCATAGCCTTAACTACAAAGGCAGTATGGGTTGCAATCTGCATCGTGGATGCTGCAGCTGTATATGCTCTACAAAGGGTTAAGTCCAAGTGTTTATCACAAGACTCAGCAGAGCCCTCCTGAATACCTGCTGGTGGGATAGTTTCAGAAATAAACCCTTGGATTTCATCATCTACTTTTGGAACGGATAATATCTGGGTCGCCTCTCTGGAAGAAATTGGATATTTGCGTGCCAATGAAGGCAACTGCCTGTCAATCTGCTGCCACTCCTCTTCAATTACTTTTAAAATAGATTCATGGAAGGGAAAAGATAGTTCTGAGCTATCAATGTTATCATGCTGTGATTTCTCAGATTTTTCCATGCCTAAGGTAGTAAGTGCATGAGAGACAACAGTTTTGGCAAAAGAAGACATATGTTCAGATTCAGGTATATCCTGCAATACCTGGCTATCCTGAAATGACACAGAGGAACCTGAATCCCTCTCCTCTACTGACTTCTCACTGAGTCTAGGGAATTTTCGTGGAGGAGACAGGGAAGTGGTTTCTCGAAAACTAGATTGACCAATTCTCTTGCATATGTTTTCAATGTCCAGTGTGGGTATAGAGTTAGAAGTCCCAGGTAAACTATCTACCCCACCCTGGACCAACAGAGAATTGACATAATCTTTGATTGCCTGAGCAAGTTGTGGGGAAATTACTTGTGATCTCTTAGACTCCTCTAGTACTTCCCTTTCGCTGGAGAGAATGCGCTGATCTGAAATATTGGACTTCTCAGTATATAATGGCTGAATTCCACTTTTCTCTCCACGGTAAATATTTTCTACTATGTCTTTACAGTAAGAAGTAGTGGTTTCTTTAATCAGTGAAGGAGAAGCTGCAGTAGAGCCCAACATGGCAGCGAGTTCACGCTGAGAGGATGACGAAGAACTTTTCTCTACACTCCTATCATGGCTAGTCTTAGAGGAAAATAACAAATTCCCTCCAGAGGCTAAATTCTGCATCTGTCTCTTGCCAGGCAAGGTTGTGGCAATAAGAGGCTCCCTAGATGGGTCGCCCTTAGAAGTATGTATTTTCTTAGCTGCCTGTAGTTCAGTCCTGCCCAAAGGAGGACGGGTGGAGATTTCAGGAAAAGAAATACCCTGAAAAAATCCACCAGAGGGAGTAGCTGGAAGTCCAGAAAAAGGAGCAAAATCCCTAGTGGACTTCACTTTCTTGTGTTCTTTCTTCTTTCCTGTAGAGGCAAAAGAGGCAGGAAGTTTAAGCATTACTTGTGTTTGAGCTGGTTTTATTCTTGCCTCCTTGCTAAAATAGTGCTGTTGAAGGAAAAGACCCTATATTTCATATTCTGAACAATTTGGCAGACTGTGCCTTAGAAGGCAGAGCTTTTAGAGATTTGAGTAACTTGGGTCAAATTAGATAATCACAAAACTAATGAACAAGGCATATGAATCAAGAGTTTATAAATATCACATTGCACTTATCATTTTTAAAAGGACATTTATTTCATGTGCTAGTATCAAAAATTTTAAATATCACAAATTTTCTTTAAAATAGTATAATATATAAAGATATGGCCAAAATATTTGCTTTAAAGTTGCCATGAAATCAGATTATCTAGCAACAATTTAAATGCCTGTCAGAAAAAAAAAATGTGCTACATTCAAATGCTACCACTATATATTAACAAGGAACATATACATACTTAATAAGATTAGATTAAAAATAACATGGAATAAAAATACAAGCACAAGAAGTAGCATATGATTTATATAGACTTTTTTAAAGTACAAAATAATACTATATATTAGATGAATAAGTATTAAAAAACTAAATAGATCAGTATCTACTGATAGTGGTCACTTCTGTGGAGATGATAATGGACAAGGGCAAAAGTGAAGCAGAGAGTCTTTACAAAAATGAGATCTGAAGCAAAAGATAGTTAACTGGTAAGTTTGGGTAATAGAAAATTAGACACTTGTACTTTTTTGTTTCTCATACTTGTTTCAAGTATTTAAATCAAGTTATTTGTAGAATTACTCTAATAATACGAACAAAAATTACATATGTCCTGCCAATATTTTTTAAAACTTTACCTTCTTCATGAATGAAGTCTCATGAGAATCTAAAAGAATTACATGCATTTAACAATTTAAAAATTTTACCTTCTTCATTGTCACTGTATCTGTCAGAGTCATTACTTCCATTCTGCCTAGTATTTTCTGCTGATGAGGAAATTGTTGGTAAAGGAGTAGAAGATCTTGATTCTGGTCCTTGTTCTCTCAGTTTCAATAGCTTTTTCTCATACAGCTTCCTGGTTGTTCCTATATCAAGGCAAAACTTGAGTTTAGCTCTTGCATTATCTTATTTAAGGTCTAGCTCAGAAACTAAATAACATTATAAACTCAATTTTTACCCTTTCCTTTCCTAAACTTTATTACTTAAAAATAATAATAATAATAATGGGGTATTTTCAAAAATAGGAATTTTTCTGAGATTTTAATGAGATTATAATGTTTCTTTTAATAACATGGAATACACAGTAAATTGATATAGGTCTTATTGGAGATTAGCTACCGAAGAACGATGTATGACTCTTTTTTAAAAAATATTTTTTTAGCTGTTGATAGTCCTTTATTTATTTATATGCAGTGCTGAGAACCTAATCCAGTGCCTCACACATGCCAGGCCAGGGTGCTACTGCTGAGCCACAGCCTCCACCCATCATGTATGACTCTTTTTGACTGCAAGTCTTGGACTTTGTATATTTTCTCTACAATTACAGAAGTATACGCCAATATAGAAAATTCTAAAAACAGATCATGCCCCCTGAGGAATATGCATTGATATATTATATATAATCATATATTATATATAATTTTATTATACCGTACAATGTAATTCTATATAACAAACAGCTTTTGTTTTCTGTTTCACACTAGCTATATCTTTCTTTAATTTCTGTAAGTTGAGTAAAATGAGTATGGACTTTTATAAACAATACATATCCAGAAATATAAAGTAGTCTTAAAACAAACAGCTGGTATACCATCATTTAATTTAATGTATGCTAGTACATATCAGCATCTTCCTTTTACAATTTTAAACAAAATCTTTGTGTTCAAAATTTTCTACAACTTAGATGATCAAAATTAATTTTTCTCACCTTGAGGTCATTGTCAAGACCCTCATAAAATAAGGTAAATGCTACCTTGCAATAATCACTGAGCCACATTCCCAGCCCTTTTTTATACTTTATTGGGGGGGAAGTCTCAGAAGTGGGGGGGGGGGGTTGCTAAGTTGCTGACGCTGACTTTGAACTTAAGATCCTCTTGCCTTGAGTGCCACCATAACCAGATAGTTTATCATTCTTTAAATTATCTTCAAATTCCAATCAAGATATGGCACTTTTAATGATAAATGGAAAATGGTACTAGGCTAGGAATTGAATAACTTTAGTTATATTAGTCAGTTATTAACTTACTGATGTGGATGAACTGGCCAGTTAAGTTAGCTGAGATTCTCCTCAACTGTCATATTAAACCCATATGGGCTTGGAACAGTGGCGCACACCAGTAATCCCAGCAGCTTGGGAGACTGAGGTAGGGGGATCAAGCCAGCTTCAGCAACTTAGCATCTAAGCAACTCAGTGAGACACTGTCTCTAAATAAAATACGCACACAAAAAAAGGCTGGGGGTGTGGCTTAGTGGTTAAGAGCCCCTGGGTTCAATTCCCAGTAAGAAAACAAAAAATAATTCAATATAGTCTCACCAGGTGGTGTGATATGTGCACCACATAAAGCAATCTCAACCACAGAGATAAGAGATTAGCTAGTTCAATTCTTTTATTTTATTTCCCTCGATAGGGTTGAGGAAATTAAAGTCTTGGTCATACAAAGGGTTAATGGTAAGACCGGCCCTTGGAACCCAAATTCTAATCACTAGGCAAGAAGAGAAAACAACTTAAGGCCTTGCTTCATAGAAAATATATTTGAAATTTTATGAACTTACCCACAATAGGACCAGGATTCACCCCATATTTCACAAGCTGATCCAGAAGTTCTTCATTAGAGAGCTCTGTTACATCTAGATCATCCTTATCTTCTAGTCTGGGCTTATCAGTTTTCTTTGTTGCTTTCTGTAAACAAAGTCCAATTGTCATTTCTACACAAATTTTACAGTGTATATTTATTAGACAAATAATATGCTGTGTAAAAAAAACATAAACATTCACCCACAGCAATTTGATTAAGTTAAAACAATTCATTTAAGGACATTCTAAATTCAACTATAATTAGACTATACAAAACTAATTCCCACACAAATAACTTACATGTTAAAGCGATTAACTGTTGAAATATTCAATTTTGAAATACCTCTGTAAAGAGGTAGTAATGGCATCAAAAATTCAACAGCAAATAAATACAAAGTAAAAGTAATTGACTTTGGATAACATTATATATGTAATAATGAACCATATACCTATTTTCTTTAAAATAAACAAAAATTATGCTGAATTTTTTATACTGCGCACCCCGCCCCTCCCGTACTTTAACACTGAGTTAAGTTCCCAGGGCTTTTTATTTTTTTGAGACAGAGTCTTAATAAGATCTAGAGGCTGGACTTGAACTTGTGATCCTCCTGCCTCAGCCTCCCAAGTCAATGGGCTTATAGGCGTGTACTACCATGCCCAACTATACTGTATTTCTTAAAAGATAACTCCTGAAGACAAGGGAGTCAGATCAGCATGAAAGAAACAAAGTGAAGCCAGACGTGGTTTAAACATGTTCACCCTAATGTAGTAAATATAATTTACTGTTGACTTTTTCTAATCCTTGGAGTTTTTTTATACTTTTTTTTTTTTTAGGTGATATGGAGAATGGAACCCAGTGCCTCACAAGTGCTAGGTGTGTTCTATCACTGAGCTACAACCCCAGCAGGTATAATTCTTAAAGTTTAAACTAGTGTAGGAAAATTAAAGACTTTTATAAAAAATGATTTCTCCTTAAACAGCATATCAGAACATAAGAAACCCAAATGATTATTCTCCTTGTACTTAGTTTATGGCCATTGAAAGAAGTCTCACAAGACTTCATAGTTATCACCCCTAACACAGCTTATTCACCAGATTCAGTTGTATAGAATCATTTTACTAGAATAGCCAAAAGAATGTGGAACTTGAGAACAATACCAAAATAAGTTCTTTCCTAATTTTTAATATTTATTTTTTAGTTTTACGTGGACACAATATTTTTATTTTATATTTATGTGGTGCTGAGGATCAAACCCAGTGCCTCATGCATGCTAGGCGAGCACTCTACTACTGATCCACAACTCCAGACCCCCTTTTAAATGTATTTCTTTTAGTTGTTGATGGACCTTTTATTTTATTTTATACGTGTTGCTGAGAATCAAACCCAGTGCTTCACACATGCTAGGCAAGTGCTCTACCACTGAGCCACAACCCCAGCCCCTCAAAATAAATTTTTGAAATAATCTGAACAATGGCAGTATTTTCTCAAAAAACTATATATATTTCCAAAATAAATAGCTTAAGCCAGTAAAAGTATGGATACCTTTTAAGATTATGGCAAATAGCCTTTACAAATGTCTGAGTAACCCTAGAAAGTATCAGTGTACCGAACAAAACCCAGTTGTTTAAATAATGGCCACAAATATCACTTAAAAAAATCACTCAGGCCTGAATTAGTATATAAGGCAGGAGAGTTAATACTACACCTTAGAAATGTTCTATGAAAAATGGCTAAAATTATTAAGTTGTACGGATCAATTACTTTCCAATTAAGGGGTGGGGGAGCAGGCATCCTGGGAATGTACCAAAATTTCTCTTGTAACAAATAAAGGGCTGGGGATGTGGCTCAGTGGGGGAGCACTGGCCTAGCCATATGTGAGGCACTGGGTTCAATCCTCTGCACCACAAAAACAAACAACAAACAAAGTTTAAAAAAAAATTTTTTTTTGAATAGAGGCTTGGGATGTAGCTCAGAAGCAGAATGCTTGCCTAGCACAGGCCCTGAGTTCCACCCAGCAAGCAAGCAAACACAAAAACTTCACATAATTTTTTTCCCCAGAAAGTGATAATAATAAAGTCAATTCACTATATATCTTTTAGTGCACTAATCTAGACTTACCAGGCTCAAATCTTGAAACTGTACATTTTGATGTCAAAATAGTTACCTAAAATATAAGAGCTCTATATTTAAAGCCTTGAAATCTTATCAACCTAATCTTGTGTTATTGACTTAACTTGAATTTTCTATAAAACATAGTTTGTAGAGAAAAACTCCATTATATGATATAAATACTTTAAGCAATGAATAATTTAACCAGGTTCAAATTACTTGTAAATAATTCCTCCCAGCATAAGAATGTTCAAATTTTACTATCAACAAAAATTCCAATTTCTTGTAACATCCTGAAGTGGTTTTTTTGGGGAGTAGGAGGTGGATGGGAGGATGTGGTATTAGGGATTGAACTCATGGTCTTGCACATACTAAGCAAATCCTGTCACTAAGTTTTAAATCCGAGTTCTTTATATTTTATATTGTGACAAAGGAAGGTCTTGCTAGATTGCCCCAAATGGCCTAGAATTTGTAATCCTCCTGCTTCAGGTTCCAGAGCAGCTGGGATTATAGGTATGTGCCACCTTTGACAGGGTTACTAGCCTAAAGTTTCTGAGAAAACTGACTTTAGCATTCAACACAGCCCACTTACTTTTTATTAGTTATTTGTATACACCCTTTATTTTCTCTAAATGGTGAACTCCTTAAGTAGCAAGTCCCCAAGTGTAGCTTGTTATCAAAATCGCAACTATTTTAAAATATCTTGCTTTACTCTGATTCTTAAGTTTGGGCAGAAAAATCTATATTTTAAATGTGTAGCTTTAGTAATCTGGATGCAACATTTAAGTGGGCACCAGAGAGCAAGAGCACTATCATATTTTTAACTCAAGCATCTTAGAACAAAAACAAAAGTAGTGTCTGACACAGGAGTTCTGTCAAACAAATGAATGATGCGTACATTCTTGAGAGGGAAAATCAAGTCATTTATTTTTGAAAATCCATTTCCTATTGGGGGGGGCAGGGAGGTGTGGGGATGTGGCTTATAGGTAGGTGGCATACTTGCCTAGTATGTGTGAGGCCCTGGGTTCCATCCCTAGCACCATAAAAAGAGAACAAATGACATAGATTTTGAATCAAAGTAGGAAATCAATCCCCTTACATTTTCTTAAACTTCAGCTGAACAAAGAAAACTTTAAAATGTAGTAGATAAACTCTGTGATTTTAAATTTAATCTGTAGGGGGAAAGTGCCAGAAAAGTAATTCATTTTATAAATATAAAAAAAATTGGGAGACGGGCAGTTTGGTGTACATGATTAACAAGACAGCAGTTTCAATCAGGAAGAAGGAAACATTAATTGTACTAAATTCTACCTCCTGATAGTTTTATTCCTTTAAGTAAGTCACAATCTGTTAAGTTTCATTCAGTCAAAAATACAGAGTACTATCAGAGATATGATAAATTATTGTGTAATGGTGTATTAAGAATCATAATGCAAAATCAACCTCAGCCCTCTACTGTTTTTTTCAACTTTAAAATCCAACAATTCTGTGAAATAACTTGTTTAATTTCTACCTTTAATAGCAAAGATGCTGATAACAATACTATTATAAAATAAATTAGACCGAGCACACATTATATATTAATGTGTGTGCTAAAGTGCCTTATAGTATTTGAGAATTCTAAAAAAAAAAATCATGATAAAGATGCTAATATCCCCATTTTACTAAGTGAGGAAACTAAGGTCCAAGGCTGTAAGGCTAACAAGGGACATCTGCATACTATGTAACATAGTATCACTGAACAGACATTATATATCACTTTCATATACTTATCCTTTTCTGAAATTGTTATTAAGGTAACTTTGCACTGTACTGCCCTGCTATTAAGATGAAAACATCCAGAAACAATGACTATAACAGGTATCAATTACTGAGCACAAGGCACTTCATTTATGCAAACTCATGTAATCAACCCTAAATCTGATAAGTGACTTTTAGTTTATTCCTATATTCCAGGTAAAAATGGAGAAACCTAAAGGCAATTAATGTTCACTGTTCAATAAGCAGCAGACCTAGAATTTAAATCTATAACTCTGATTCATTTAACACCTCATTAAGGAGCATTGCAATCAATTTATGATTTACGCTAACTTGCCTTTTACGGTTCTGTCCCAAGTCTTTAAACATTTCCTGTTAAGAATTAATCAGGTTGGGGGGCAGGGTGGCTCACTGGTAGTATGTTTAGCCTGCATGAGACCCTGGATTCAATTCCTACCACACCTTCATGCTTTGCACTTTGTAACAAAAAGGTAGGATGCAAACTCAAGGAATGTTTATTCTTGTGTCCACAATCTAATTTCAATACCTAAAATACTGGCATCAAGATGAATAAAAGAAACAATAAAAGAAAAGAAAAAAAAAACAAAATAAAAATTTTAACATGCAAATGTTTGTCATACTACCCAGTCTGACATTATTGTGGTGGTACATACAAAGCAAATTCTCTTATAAAGGAACCTGACATGCAAAATAGTTTTACACATCAACTATTATAAATGCTCTATGGCTCTTGTAAATCCAAAGAACCTCTTTCTATCCCATATTAAAAAAAAAAAAAAGTCTATTCAGACTTAAGACAAGAGTGAGTTACAATTATTAGGAACTCACTCTTGTCTTAAGTATCTTATTTTGTTTTTGGTACTGGATGGAACTCAGGAGTACTCCATCACTGAGCCACATACCCAACCCTATTTTGTATTTCATTTAGAGACAGAGTCTCACAGAGTTGCTTAGTATCTGCGCTTTTGCAGAGGCTGGCTTAGAACTCACATTCTCCTTAGTCTCCCCAACAGCTGGTATTACAGGCTTGCGTCACTTGCCTCAAGTATCTTTAAAACAGAAAATAAAGCTATTGACTACCAATATTAACTTTTTCAAGTTGTTATCATTGAGCCTGGCCAAAGGCATATATTTTTAAGTTTTAATCACTCAAGTGGGATAAGACAAAATTCTATGGTTATGAAATAATTCTCCTCTATAAAGGAAGCTGGGCATGGTGGTACACTCCAGCAGTCCCAGTAACTAGGGAGGCTGAGGTGGGAGGATCACTTGAGACCAGGAGACATCCCCTCACTGCCAGAGGGAGAAATATAACTTTTTAGCATGTCACTGGATGCAGTAGTGTGTGTGTGTGTGTGTGTGTGTGTGTGTGTGTGTAGGGGGCAGGTGTTGGGGATCAACCTAGACCTTCCATATGCTAAGCAGATGCTCTACTAGTGAGCCACACCTTCAGTCCCACAGTAGATAAGCTAAAAAAAAAAAAAAAGTTAATTCTCCCCCCCCCAATGAATTGGGGTGAGAAATGGGTAAATAACATAATTTTTAGACCCAAGACACTAAATTTTTATGATGATGTGTAGGGTCTGCAGAAATCAATTTTTAAATATCTATTTTTATTATCTTAATGTGTTATGAGCACATATTAGGAACTCAAAAATGATGGAAACTCCAAGACTTCAAGTTTTTGCATACAACCCAAACTTTATGGTTTAATACATCTACACCAACAAAGGGTACTACAGAAGAACTGTTGTTTTTTTTTTTAAAGTGTGCTGACTGAAATGGAAGATATTTCACTTTTGACCAAATCTATAATGAAATAGTTTGAATACTATCCCCTTTCTTGAAGAGTCAGTGGAGGAAAATCAATAAGGGATAAACTTTACTTTGAAAGTAAATTTTTGTTTAAAGCGGCTTTCTTTAAACCCTAAAATGGAGACATCAGAAACAATAAAATTTGGCTGCTCTTTTATTTACTGAACAAACACTTATTATATATTATGTGGCATACACTGCCTTGCATGATTTTTAGTTTCTCTGAAGCCCAGACTGAGACTTTTCGATTAAATTTACATGTGTCTGTTACATGTTATTCATTTCCATTTCATTCGTCAGCAAAACACATTAGATAAAAAATTTTAAATTAACAGAGAATGTTGAAAAACTTTTGAAAAGAAATAGGTTGGGGTTTGGCTCTGTTGCAAAATGCAGCATCAAAAAAAGGAAAAAAAAAGAAAAAGAAAAGCAGCAATAACTTTGAGTTATAATAGTAACCAGCAGCAGCGACTCCTACCACATTTCACCGTCTTTCATGAAAGCATTTTAAGTTATGCCATCAAGTTTTAACAACATTATGATATGAAGCCTGGTAACTAAGTATATACAAACCAACAAAAACACACTTAAAATTTAACGATAACAAAAAGCAAACTGATAAGCATTCGCTGAAGCCAATCTTGAGATTTAACCAGGATCAGACATTTAATACCATAATCCCAGCGACTCGGGAGGCTGAGACAGGAGGACCCCGAGTTCAAAGACAGCCTCAGCAACAGCGGGGGCCCAAGCAACTCAGTGAGACCCTGTCTCTAAATAAAACACGAAATAGGGCTGGGGATGTGATGTGGCTCAGTGGTCACGTGAGTGCCCCTGAGTTCAATTCCCGGTACCCCTCCCCCAAATTTAATACCGACACATCATGATGCCATAAAATAAACCTATCTCTTGGTTCCGAATCTTTCTTTCCTCAAGTAATATTAAGCAAAAAAAGGGGTGGGAGGGGACAATCAACTCAAACTCATTAACTAGAATTTCCTAAGATCGATGATAAACATTTTAAAAAAATTTTTTAAAGGTTCATTTCAACCTAGAGTAAAACTGCCGCGACAAGAGATGGCCTGTTGCTGGAAGAAGTCAGACTAACAAGAAAACACCACCAGTTCAAAAAGCCCTCTGCATGCAAACTAACAAAACCAATATGAAAAGGCGGGAATTTCTTTATTTCAAATTTTGCTTAGATATGAGTAGGTCGCAGACTGCCCTCCAGGGAGCGCTCTGAGACTGTGCTGCACGAGTCATTTCGGTTACTGAAGCGGGAAAACGCTCGGACCTGACCTACAGCGTTCCGGGGCCGACCCTCGCCAGGCGTTGGAAAAGCGCTCGGGGCCCGGTCTCAGGGCCCACTCCCGACCGCCGCCAGTCGAGGACCAGGGCTCCGGCGCCGCGTAGCTCCCCGACGCAGCGTCCGAGCGCCCAGCGGTCGCAACTTCTGGTCCCTCCCTCGCAGCGCCCCGGTCCCGGAGCCCGCACCCCGGCGGCGACCGAGCTGCGGGCCGGAGCGCGGGGACAGCCCCGCGCCGAGCGGGGGCGAGCGCGCGCGGAAACCGCCAAACGCCCGCCTTTGTGGCCCCGGCCGGGCGTCCTTACCCTGCCGACGGTGGCGCGGCCGCGGCCCGCGGTGGAGGGCCCGGAGCTGAGCACTGGGGTGGGCTCGCGCTCCTCGTCGCTGGAGAAGTCCGGGGGCCCCTTGCTGTTGGCGCCCGCGGCGTGCGGCGGCCGGTTGCGTGCAGTCAGGTGCTGCAGGTAGAGCTGCACGTACACGTCTTTGCGCTGCTCCCCGGCCGGGAGAGTCACATTGTTGGCGACCAGTTCACTCTTCAACTTGTCTTTCGTCAGGACCGAGGGGTCTTCCAGGAACTCCGGCATCTCCGGGATCTACTAGTCCCCTTCCCCGCAGCCTCACTGCCGCCGCTCACACCGCCGCGCTCACTCCTGGCCGGGGGCCGCGCTGTCGCCTCCGAGCCTTACGGCTCCCGCCCGGGAGGAGCGCCGCGGGGGCACGGCAAAAAACTCGCAGACACAAAGCGAGGCCAGACGCGGGCACAAAAGCGCCGCGAGCCCAACTACGGACTAAGTGCGGACAGGCTGGGAGGCTGCACCAACCCCAGCCCACACACTACAGCCAAGGCGAGAGCAGCCTGCTTCGCCCACGCCCCAAGAACGCGCGCCGCCATTGGTGGGCGGCGGGAGGAAGCGCGGCGATGATTGGCTGGGCGGCTCGCGCGGGTTCCATTAGCCACCGTGCGGAGCGAGAGGTTGTAGAAACGCAGTTTAAAAGCTGCTCAGGCGGGAGCTCAGGCTTCTGGCCCGTTTCGGTTTCCCCCTTCCTCCACCCTTCCCTTTAGACGCTGATAAGGGACGGGTCGTACTGCTTTTGTGCTCCGTTTCCTTTCCCTCCTCCTGCTTGGGACACAGCTTCCATCCTGGGGTCGGTCACCTCGGAGCGGGCCGAGTTCCACGCCAGCCCTGAGGACCCTTGGCTGGGCCTTTCTCCCTCCCAGGACACTGTCCGTCAAAGAATAGGCTGCTTTCCCGAACGCTAGCTCTAGTGGGGAAGACGAGAGGCGAGGCATGCATGTTCGTGTGTCTTGATTTACTTGGAGAGGGGAAGGGGCAGCACCAGGAGGCAAATTCCCCTCTGCTCGGAAAAGCTTCTTTTGTTCCTGCAATTCCGGAGAAACTGGACCTCTGCTATTAGTTTAAAACGTCCTTGAATCTGTTGACAAAATTGCATTCCGTTTGCTTGTGACCCTACGGATTGGGCATTTCTAAATTATTTCATTTGAACAGTTACTTGGAGCTTACATAAATCCGTGCACGCATTTTTGCTGGACAGTCTCTCTTGGTTAGATTCCCCCCAGCCTTAAGTCTCTGACTATAACTTAAACCCAGAGAGAGTGGTAACAACTAAATGAAGCGCAGTATTTATAGTCAACTTCAAACCACGGAGATGGTACATACTAGATTTTAATTTCGGACGCAGCCTTAGTGACTTTATAATTAGGCCGGAAACTATAAACAAACCCATGTTAAACTGATTAAAATCCAGTAGAATCTGAAACATATACTCTAATTAAAATATCTTCCTGGAAACAAACACCATTGATGACATCAATAGGAACAAACACGTTTCAAGAATATACGTATGTAGATACGTTTCGGGATGCTTCCTAAAGAGAAACTATCCTCGGATTTAGGTTGTCAGCTGACTCTGAAAAAAAATCTCAAATTATGCTTTGTAAATTGCTTTAAAATTTTTTAAATGTTTACCTGATTTCTACATGGTTACGTTGAAGTAAATTTAAAATAAATGGCATCACTAAAAATGTTTTTATGAATTCAAAGAAACATTCTTTTAATGACATTATTTTCCTAGAAGTGATTTTATTAATTCCTGCCTAAAAATCTCAATATTACATATATTTAGGCAATAGTATTAAACTCAGTGATGAAAATTTAAAATTTTGTTTTAATAAAAAAATTATTTTGTACATTTTTATAATCACTTATGAAAGTTGGGGTTCCCCCACCCCCATCACAGCTTTTCTCCGCCCCCCATCACAGCTTCCACGGCATAGGTGTGTGTTTTTATCGTCAAAAAGGGAACTGAACTGAGAGATAAAGGACCATAATTTTGCGTCCCAATCTGCAATGTACTTCAGTTATGTTTTTCCGTATGGTCTCAAATTTTAATGGACAGAACAAGTCTTCAGCTTTATCTCTGCAAGGGCATATACAATAGGTCTTTTCTCAGAGGAAGAAGTATTGCTGATATTTTGGTGACATTTTAAGATAATATTCTTCTACCCTAAGTTTTTTTTGGTACTAGGGATAGAACTCAGGGGCACTAGACCACTGAGCCACATCCCCACCCCTATTTTGTAGTTTATTTAGAGAGTCTCACTGAGCTGCTTAGTGCCTCGCCATCACTTTAGGTGGACACAATATCTTATTTTTATGTGGTGCTGAGAACCAAAGTCAGTGCCTCACATGTGCTAGGCAAGTACTCTACCACTTGATCCACAAGCCCAGCCCCCGTCTCAGGCTCCCAAACCATTGGGATTACAGGTGTGCACCACTGCGCTGGCTTCTACCCTAAATTTGGTATGAGTACAATACAATACTAAGGTCTCACTGCCACCTCAGTGTGCTTCCTGAAGATGCTGCATTGAAACTGTTTGTTTTGTTATCCACAGGACTTTTGCACCAGAAGTTTTCCAAGTAGTTTAATTTTTAGAGACAATAATGAAGCCAGAATTAAAAAAGAGATAGTCAGCACAGACAAATTGAAGAAAACAGACCAATCTGGTTTGGGTCCAAACGTTGGGTACTGTGCCTGTGGGAGATTGAAATGTTAATATCCCCAAAGTCCAGCCTATAAGGTCCATCCTAAAGAATTGTTAATGAAGCAACTGGGAACTGCTAATTAATTTGCCCTGTGCCCCCTTCCTTCCCAGATCACTCCTTCCCTGGCCCTCTAGGCCACCTGTTCCCCACCTTTTCGCCATTCCATCAATCATCTCCTGGGCCTAGTCATGTATGCAGGAAGGAAAGAGATAAGGAGGAAGAGAACAGGAGAACAAAGGAAGCCTAGGACATATAAAAAGGCAGAGCACCTTCACTTCCTAGGATACCAACTATGGCCCACTTCTCCCTCCTGGGAAGTCTATGTTACTTTTTAAATAAACCCTGCTTTATATGCTTGCCTTGGTGTGCTTCTTTAATGTTATCCTTCAATATGTGAGGAAACAGACCTTGTCACTCATAACCTGTAGTATCGATAGCTCATCCTATTTTTTCCACAAGCAAAGGAGTGTTGACCAACTATTAAGTCTGAAAGTTGTTTTAGTAGACAGTACTGTGCCCTACAAGTCAAGATATGATTCACAAAAACTGCATTCTAGATGCCTGAAATTAATGTTCCCTAAACAAAAACTGTCACTTTCATCTCTTTTTCTTATTCCTGGACATGCTATCAATAGGAGGTTACTGCAGATACTACATTTCTCAGGAAGCATGATTTATGTCATAAGCTATCAAAATGAGACTGCTTTTCTAGATCTTTCTCTCCAAACCATGAGTTATCAAATTGAGACTTGGAATCATCCTAGGATGTATTCCCAGAACCATTACTTTTAGTGATGAATGTAATTTTTGCTTTTAACTCTGCTGTAGAATTCCAAAGTAGAGGATATTTTTCTCTCATATTCTATGTACCTCAAACTAAAGTAATTAGGCTACTGAATTTGTTCCTGATCACTACTTTCAAACTTCTCTTTCCTCCTCCAGGAACATTTGGAGTTCACATCATCCAGCTAAGTCACCCTCTACTATTTTTGCTATTATTTACTAACCTCCTGGCTAATCTACTTCAGAAATTATAGGTCTCCTTGCTCTAGGTTTTTCTCACTATCATTCTTGTCTACAGTTTATGCAGATTCAGCATCTTTTTTTAAATATATTTTTTTAAGAGAGAGAGAGACAGAGAGAGAGAGAGAATTTTTAATATTTATTTATTTTTTTAGTTCTCGGCAGACACAACATCTTTGTTGGTATGTGGTGCTGAGGATTGAACCTGGGCCGCACGCATGCCAGACGAGCGCGCTACCGCTTGAGCCACATCCCCAGCCCCCGAGATTCAGCATCTTGTAGGTGATCTGTGCAACACTAACACTTAGCCTCTTAGATCTTTGACTTCTGTATCTCCAACAATTTGTTCCCCTTTTCTATTGTATCGACTCTAGTCGTAAGACTATGAGCCTTACCATCAATAACTACCTTACCTTTAAAAAAAAATTGTGATTATCTTTGGAGCATCAATTTTACTACCAAATTGGTGAGAAATAGAAACTTATTAAGAACCATCTCTGCAGGCTGGGGTTGTAGCTCAGTGGTAGAGTACTCACCTCACATGTGGAAGGCAATGGGTTTGATCCCCAAGTACCATACAAAAATTAATAAAGATATTGTGTCCATCTACAACTAAAACAATATTAAGAAAAAAATCTCTGCTATTCCAGAAACATGGCAGAAAGGCCAGAGAAGAGTAGGGAAGGGAGAAGAGTCCCAGATAAAAAGTCTGTGATATTTCTTCCACCTGGGGTAGTGGGGCCAACTCATCCACAGGCAGTTCTGAATGCTCTCCGGATTGGAATTCATGGGGCGATGTCCCAGGAAGCTTGCAGACTTCCCTCCTGCAGCCGTTCCACGTGAGTGAGATCCCCTGTAATCTATTTGGGTTTTGCCTCTGTCTGAGCTGTCCTCTTTCATTGGAGCCACTTTATTTCTGAGTCCAGAGTGTGTGTGTCTTCCTTTTGTTGGAGCACATTGTTCCTGAATTTAGTGTTTGTCTTGAGGGCCAGTAGGCAGCAACATGGTATTCAGCAACATATTTCTAGGATACAGTTGCAATGCTCCTAGTCACTGCCTCCCAGTCCTTGCTGTTGTCATGAGTACAGGCTGTAGTCCTACCATGGGGTTGCTCAGTAGGGAGGGAGTTTCCTTCTGATGACAAAGTATCCCAGGAGGACTTGCTGCTCTCTGCCTCCTACCCACTGTGCTCAACAAGGGGCTGGGTGAGGGGGGCTGCAAGAATATGCTGTGGGACTATACTGGATTGGGGTGTCCTTGTTTGCAAGTTGCAGAGGGGAATGGCAGGCAGACTGAGTCTTCTACTGCCCTTCTGTCCTGACAATCCTCCTGAGGCAGCTATAGCTCATAGGACAAAAAGGGAAAGAAGTAAAGAGCAGGCTCACTGGCACTCTTTTTTGAACAGAGAGTGAAGCTGAAAGGATTGGAAGGGAATGGGCTGGGCCCACTTTTGGATGTGTAGGATTGGGTTAACTTGGACTGATCAGTCCCCCTGGTTTGTTTGTGCTGGAGCATCAGAAAGATAGCTATAATCTCATCAAATTTTCTGGTTAGGTAAGATACTCAGGATTCATATGGACCACAAACCATGTCAAACATGACCCTCAGTAGTGAGGTTCTAGGTGGCTGGGGAGTGGCTCCCTAGAAGAAATCAGTGAATATTCCTCACATTAGTTTAGTCATGGTGCCTCACGACTTAGTCTACCATAGTATTCTTCGTGGGGTCAGTCAGTAACTGATCACACTTATCACTTCATGAAAACGTGAGAGGGAAGGTACCATGTGT